GTGTGTGTGTGTGTGTGTGTGTGTGTGTGTGTCCGTCCTGCTGTTTCATTGATTACATGCATGTTCTGTTTCTCTGCTGGAACTGGCCAAAAAGATAAATAAATAAAAGATGTTTTGTGTTTTTCTGTGAATCATTGTGTTTGCTGGAAGCTGCACTGTTGAGTAAGACAAGAGCCGAAAGCAGATGTGAAGGAGGTTGTTTTAAAGTTTGACTTCAAGCACATGATCTCTTTACTGCCTGGAAAGGAAACGTGTGTGTGTGATATAAAAATATTGCCTTTAGTTATTGTGACAATGTGACATTTCATCTTTGGAACTCATGAGTCAGATACAAAAATGATTGTTTTGAAAGAAGAAAATGTAAATGATGTGTATCATCGGATGTGGTGTGTGTGTGTTTGTGTGTTTGTGTGTGTGTGTGTGTGTGTGTGACGTTTAAGCATAAGAGCCAGCTGTGATTAGGTTTGTAACACATCTGAGCGATATTCTACATGATAAAATTGTTTTTCTTAACACGAGTTCTGTAACTAGGTTCAAATAACAGGGTTTAAATAGTTTAGAGACTACTTATAGAATGTGTTTTATCAATTAATTCATTTATTTGCACTACATTAGACGTAAGAGCAGTTTCAGCTTTTTACTTTTTAACAGCTGTCTGTTTTTTATTAGTTTTATTTTATTTAATTTTTTTTTTCTAATTGAAAGTTGTGGTTCAAAAACTAAGTAACGTGTCCATGGGAAACGTGTCACAGTAAATGCATTCCAGATGTGTCTCATGATGTGTTTATGCACACTGCTGTGCAGTTGGGACAGTATTTCAGTGATTTTCTTAAACTGATAAGTGATGTAAACAGATCCTCAAAAGGAATCAAACAAATCCAGAAGAGACACAAAGCAAGAGTTTGGAAGGAGTAGATTTAGAGAAAACATAAAAACACTGAACACATCTAGATGTTGAAACATCATCAGATGAAGTGATTATAATAATATTGTATTTTTCCATAAATCTGAGAGTAACACTTGGTTTTTGCTGATGATGAAAATGTGTTCTTTTTTTCCAGAGCTGATCACAGTAAAAAAGAAAACTTTATCAGCTACACATTTTTATAGTATCACAGTGCATTGTTTGTGTCTGCTGGGGTCAGTACATTAAAAAAGTAATGTATACATTAATCTGTTGACTCAGTGAGTCTAATAATGAAGTCATCTTAATGCTGACAATTGCTGAATTCAGTTCTACACATTGGAAACACTGGTTTGATTGTCTACATATTTTCTTTTTTATTGTCTGTTTGTTTTATGAACAGTATCAAAAAGAAAAAAAATAAGTAGGTCCTCTGGATGGGTTCTTCTTTAGTGAAACGTTTCGTTTCTCCTGCAAGAGACTTCTTCAGTCTGATGAGTTTCAAGTGAATTCAGCCTTATAAGCACTGCCTCCACATGGACAAACAGGTTAGTCTCATGAAAAAGAGGGCCATCGCCTAACAATAGGCTTGATTAGCTCTATTGGGGTCATGTGTCCCATCACCTGACTTATTGATTTGGATGCCTCGGCTGTGGAACCCATCCAGAGGACCTACTTTTTTTTTTCTTTTTGATTTTTTTCTACCTGGATTACTGAGACGCGTCAGGACATTATGAACAGTATATTTTGGACCATGAGTCTGCAAACCAAGTACATCATCATCATCATCATCATCATCATCATCATCATCATCATCATCATCATCAGACACCTGTTTCTAACTGAACCACTCAAAAATGAGACCTCACATCACATTTTAAATGCACCTTTCCTTGTTTTCTAACTAACATTCTCAAAACTAGTTCATAACATAAAAACCTCAGCTGCTGTGTGGATAATATTGCATCTGGAAAAAAATATTTGTGGTTCAAAAATTGAGGCAAACATTGCACATCACTATTTTTTATGTTTTAGATTTGTGTTTTTGATTCAATTTCTCATTATGTGATTGTTTTTTTTTTGTTTGTTTATTTGTTTTTTTTTTCACTCAGCTGCAGAACCTGTCCAGCTGCACTGTCTAGACCAGTGGTTCCCAAACTTTTCAGCTTTTGACCCACAAAATACCAGCAGCAGAGACCTGTGTCCCCAGCTGTTGTTGTTTAAACATTGTTTTCACATCTAATAAACAAGAGCATAGTACCATTATTTATTACTTTATTTTTGTTCATTTTGAGTACACTAATCTCATTATTTTATAACAACAAAGGCAAAAAATGTTGTTAGTTATCATTTTTCTGTGTAATTAATTCAGGAAACATGTTCAGGACCCCACCTTGATGTTTCAGGACCCCACTGTGGGTCCCGACCCTAACTTTGGGAACCACTGGTCTAGACTGATTTTATGTTTTAACTCGTTCTTTTATTTAATTCACTACAATTTGCACTCGCAGTTATTACATGAATAATTTTAATCTTCACAGCTGTGAACAGACTTATTCAGTGCAATGCTTCTGAAACAGTAGACTTTTTGATGAGTCTGTTTTTTATTGTTATAAAAAATATTATATTATTATTATTTAATTATCTGTAAAAAGACACAAGTCGTTGATTTTTGTATTCTTTTATTGTGACAACAATTTTCCGAAACGATGCTGTTGAAAAACTGATGTTTCCTCTTTCTATTTTTTTTTTGTGTGTGTGTTTCAGAATCCTTGATGCTGTGGTGACACTGAAGACAGAGTGTATCCCTGAAAAATACACACTCACACACACACATGTGAAGTGACTGAGAAGCCTTTTGGATATACAAGCGCTTCACCGGACATAATGAGAGGCTACCTGCTGACTGCACTCTTTCTCCTGCCCTTGGTGAGTCAGTTACTCGTGTGCTGTAGCCGTGTGCAGTTCACATGTGGAGGCGTGTGTTCGCGTGTGCACAACAGAAAGCTCACGACGTCTGCGTCCCCTGCTTTCTTAGCCGAATCTATTCTCTCGCCCGAACTCCTCGAGGTGTCTGTGATTTGGCCAGGGGTGGAGCCAGGGGTTGGCCAGGGGTGGCCATGGCCTCCACAGACAAATCTTTGGCCACCCCATTGGCCACCCAGCTGTACACACCCCTTCCACAGTGAAAACACATTTAAGGGTGGAATAATCCTCCTGAACAGTTGGTGGCAGTGTTTAACAGTTTGAAACATCACCAAGCTCAATCACTGAAGAAGAGTAAAGAAAACAAAGTGATGGTTTTCCTTCTATACAGAACATATGCCTATGTAATCTGACTTATGGTGTCAACTTTTGGACTTATGGTGACAAATGTTTTTATTTTTATTTATTTATTATTTTATTTTATTTTGTTATTATTATTAGTTTTTTTTTTTCATTTTATGTTTTGAAGGCTGCATGATGCTCTGTGTTTGGTTATGAGTAGACCTATCACTAAATCAGAAGTGAAACAGCCCTCTAAATTCGCTGTTGGTGGTTGTCAGTATTGCACCTGTTCATTGGGTAAAATTATTAATATTAGTTTTAAACACATCATTATTTGGCACAATGACGTGTTACAATTAAAGATAAATAAATAAACAATAAAAAAGTAAAAAGCAACCCTAAAGTCACTGGATATGATAAATTGTGTCACATTAATGAACCTTGTCTCAGCTGTAGCAGTGAGTTTAAACACAGGATGATGAAACTAGTTTAATGAGTAAGCTGTCTCTGAAAAATTTATTAAATCAAGTGTTTATTTATGCAGTTAAAAGTATGTTTAACAATCTGGTAAAATACACCAGAATGCAGGAAATGGCATCTATTATCAAAATTTTCAGGGGGAGAACCCCCAGACCTCGCAACAGTGTGTCCCCCCACTTTCAAACTGGTGACACCCATGTTTATAAGGTACTCACTGTCTGTATAACAACATAAGGAAATGACCAAAACACAAAGATCTGCAGAAACTTTCAAGTAAAAAAAATAAACGATGTAATTTTCCGGGCCACCCCTGAATGAGTAGTGGTCCCATTCTGGCCACCTCTGGGTGAGTAGTGGCCCCAGTCTGGCCACCTCTGGGTGAGTAGTGGTCCCAGTCTGGCTACCCACGAGAAAAATATCTGGCTCCACCACTGGATTCGGCTCAAAAAACGGCCACGGGCCGTGTGTCGTAATCAGCATACGTTCGCAGAGCTGGAGATCAGCGCTGCGTCAAGGCGACTGCCCTCCTCGCAGAACAAAGCCAGATGGGCCGGCTGAGCGGTGAGCTGCCAGTCCGTTTCACAGTGAATCACAGTTATTTGCGGTCGCACCGAAGTAAAAAAGAATGAAAGAGTGGTGCGAGATGTGTGGGAAGAATTCTGTTCCGCGTTCTGATGCGGCACAGCTGGACTTTTATAGCTAAGCCACCCACGTTCATTCTCCTTTTAGCTGCTCAAAAGCAGCTAACCACAAATATAAACGCTAACTTGAACGGCTGATACTTTAAACTGATTAGCTGTTATAAATAAGGACTAAAATTAAGATCTCCACCTTTAATGTCAGGTAGATTCTGCACAATGCAGTGACCTTCAGCTGCAGACATGTTCGGATGCACTTGTGTGTCAGACTGGTGTGCACGCTGAACCAGTGTCTGCAGCGTCAAATGGGAATTTTATTATCTGTTCTGCTGCGGGAGCCACTGACTTATCTGGTGCTGGAGGAGAGCCACCGGGAGGCAAACTGGGCTCTGCAGCTTCAGCACGGAGGTCTTATCTGGACAGACATCTGTTCCTGAGGAGGGAAATGATTGGAAGCGGAGAATAGGAAGCACACTTAAAAATATATACATTTCATTGATCTCTGATTCCTGCAGTGTTGCCATGGTAACTGTTTCCAGTTGGAGCTTTTAATGTCTAAAGTCTGTGATAATTGATTTAAAATTGCAATTTAGTCTTTTTTTACTAAAAGTTGGTAAAATTTGATTTTGTTGCAAACAAAATTTCTCTGTTTTTAAATGAATATTGAACAAAATCTAGAACAGTTTACTTGGTTTCAAAGGACATCGTTTTCATTAAGTGTAGCACAGTTTGTTTAACGGGGAAGTGAAGAAGATTTGAAGCAGTCATGTAGAATTGAGCATCTGTGCTAGACGGTAGAGGTTTTTCATTAAAAAATATCAAAGAAATCAACTCAAGGAGGGCTGCGAGCATCTGAGGAAACCCGAGGGTATACTGTACGTTAAAGAACTACAAGGACTTTTTTTGCACAAAATAATTGTGGAAGGCAGTAAAACTTTATTAAAAATGTATAAACACTGGGAAATTGGGAGGGGGCTGATTTAGCTCAGTGTTGCAGTCTCAGAATACTGAGGCCACAGGTTTGATCTCAGGGAGGGCATCAGGCCTAAAACTGTCAAATCGGTTGTGTGAGATCCAGAAGTGTCAAAAGTATTCACATCCATTGTTTAAGGAGAAGTAGGCACTAAGGTTTAAAAATACTTTTTTAGAAGTAGAAGTATCAACTCAAGCTTTTTACTGAAGTAAAAATGTAAAGTACTGGTTTTAAAAGTAATGAACACTTGAAAAAAGTCATTAAGGATAAAAGAATAAAGCATACAACCTCCACCCCACACATTATGAGTATAATGTTAAATTAAAATGTTAATGTTGAAAAATTGGGAATTAACTAACTAGATTACTTGTTTCAGCCACGATCATCTTCATTCTAGGCTACATCTGCTACAGCAGTGGTTCCCAACCTTTTCAGACTTGCGTAAATACTGACATCTTCAAAGAAATGCAATCTTTTCATCATCTGCCTGTCACTCCCAAGTGTTTTTAACTTCAGCCAATAAGCCAGAGCCAACTTGTCTATTTGTTTCATATATTTTATGTCATTAACTCAAGAACAGATAAAACATTGGATGAAACAGATACCCCGTTTTGTTCCCTTCAGTCAAACGTAATGATGATTCTCCAAATCTATAATGTACAACTGATGATTAAATGAAAATTATTTAACCCCATAGAACGTTTGGTTCTCAGACATTTTATTGTCTTCAAAGACAGATAAAAGATGAAGATAAAAACATTGCCTTGAGAGTGAAATAAATAAATAAACCAGGTAACGGCAGGTGCAGGAAGCAGCAGCGTCCAAAATACATCAGAAACTCGCCCATTTGAGCAAATTCCATGAGATTCTGCATTTTATACTGGATTCCATTTTGTGTCAAATCCATGATTTCCACATTGCTATTTTAATTTATTTTTTTATGCAACTGGGAATTTTTATCCGTCGGATAGTCGAACCTTGGATTCAGGAAGAGCAGTGTGGTTTTCGTCCTGGTCGTGGAACACTGGACCAGCTCTACACCCTCAGCAGGGTCCTGGAGGGTGCATGGGAGTTCGCCCAACCTGTCTACATGTGTTTTGTGGACTTGGAGAAGGCGTTCGACCGTGTCCCAAGGGGGGCCTTGTGGGGGTTCTCCGGGAGTATGGGGTACCGGGCCCTTTGTTACGGGCTGTCAGGTCCTTGTACGACCGGTGTCAGAGTCTGGTTCGCATTGCCGGCAGTAAGTCGGGCTCGTTTCCGGTGAGAGTTGGACTCCGCCAAGGCTGCCCTTTGTCACCGATTCTGTTCATTACTTTCATGGACAGAATTTCTAGGCGCAGCCGAGGTGTTGAGGGGATCCGTTTTGGTGGCCTTAGGATCGCATCTCTGCTTTTTGCGGATGATGTGGTCCTGTTGGCTTCATCGGAACGAGATCTGCAGCTCTCGCTGGAGCGGTTCGCGGCCGAGTGCGAAGCGGCCGGGATGAGGCTCAGTGCCTCCAAATCCGAGGCCATGGTCTTGAGCCGGAAAAGGGCAGAGTGCCTTCTCCGGGTCAGGGGGGTCGCCCTGTCTCAAGTGGAGGAGTTTAAGTATCTGGGGATCTTGTTCACGAATGGGGGAAGAACGGAGCGGGAGATCGACAGGCGGATTGGCGCAGCGTCTGCTGTAAAGCGGGCGCTGTACCGGTCCGTCGTGGTGAAGAGAGAGCTGAGTCAGAAAGCGAAGCTCTCGATTTACCGGTCGATCTACGTTCCTACCCTCATCTATGGTCATGAGCTTTGGGTCATGACCGAAAGAACGAGGTCCCGGATACAAGCGGCCGAAATGAGTTTCCTCCGCAGGGTGGCTGGACTCTCCTTTAGAGATAGGGTGAGAAGCTCGGTCATCCGGGAGGGACTCAGAGTAGAGCCGCTGCTCCTCCACGTCGAGAGGAGCCAGTTGAGGTGGCTTGGGCATCTGGTAAGGATGCCTCCTGGACGCCTCCCTGGTGAGGTATTCCGGGCACGTCCCACCGGGAGGAGGCCCCGAGGAAGACCCAGGACACGCTGGAGGGACTATGTCTCTCGGCTGGCCTGGGAACGCCTTGGAGTTCCCCCGGAGGAGCTGGAAGAAGTGGCTGGGGAGAGGGAGGTCTGGGCATCCCTTCTGAAGCTGCGACCCGACCCCGGATAGGCGGAAGACAATGGATGGATGGATGGATGGAATTTTGTCCACATACCCCCTGTAATATGCTCGCGTACCCCAAGGAGTATGCGAGCATATTACAAATCTACTCCTTCCAAACTCTTCGCTGGTTGGGAATCACTTTGTCCTGCTGTAATGTGATGTGATTTGTGTCACACAGGTGTGATGGAGTGAGTTCAATCCAATAGTGTGTCAGAATGGTATATATTTACACTTCTCATCCAACCACATTCAAATTCACTTTATCCAAGGGCTCCATGTATCTGGATAGATTTCTATTTATTTATTTTTTCTGAACAATAAAAAGATGGAATAAAAACAAGTCAAAGTTAAATAGAAATGAAATACTTTTTGCATTTTTAAAAAGTAAGGATTAGAAAGTACAGATAATTGAATTAAAATGTAAGGAGTAGAAGTAAAAATTAGGCTGAATAATAATTACTATATTTATTCATGTGTAATACTAGAAATTTAACCCTAAAAACCATTCATAAAGTGGGGGGATAGTATTATACACAGGTTATTTTTAATTAGATTTTTACGCTTTGTAAGCTCAAAAAATGATGATCGTATTATACATGAGATCGTATTATACATGAATACGGAATACGGTACCCCACTAAAGTATAAATAACCAAAATGTCTACTTAAGTAAAGTAACAAAGTATTTGTACTTAGTTACGTGACACCGCTGGTGAGTTCTCTTGCTGTGGTGACCCTGCAGAGGGGAGCAGCCGAAAGAACAATAACATGGAACTAAAGAGGTTGTCTGAGTCGATTCAGTTTCCTATAATTAAAAGACAAAACATAAGCTGCTGAGGAGATAAAAAAAATATTTCATCTCAAACAGATTCGTTACCTTTAATTGATGGTTTTATATTAGAAATCTAACCTTTTTGACAAGAAATGTTTTGTACAGATTGTTCTGACTTTGAGGTTTACCTTGCGCTTTGATTTTGTGAACTAAAAAGTGAGTTGCTTCTTTTGCAAAAAAAAGGATGTTTTCAATCTACAGAGAACAAATCCTACCGGAATGAACAACTGAAACTAGAACAAAATTAAACTCCCACATTTCTAATAAGCATACAGCCACATCCAGCGCTCTAATGAAATAATTTAAGAATAACACATTCATCTTTTCATCTGACAGGCTTGTCTGCATCCATGCCAAACACATATTAGTCATCTGCATCCAATTATTTCTCATGTAGGAAGCCCTGCCTTCGGTGTGCATCGGCTGCTGCCAGCTTACCTGCTGCTTAGCAACATGGATGCTGCCTTTGATTGCAATCTTTCTTTGATAAAACCAATAAAGGAGTTGGTTTTATCAACTGAACCTCTGAGAAGAATGAAAAGTTGTTGAGTTGGTTTTGTCTGTATCGAATAAATCAAAGAACTCCTAACTAATGCTGTTTGATAATGATCCACAGCTGGTTCTCAATGATGGCTCAAGTAATTCACAATTCGCTCTGTGTTTTGAAATTCCGCCTACGTCCATCAAGGTAAATAAAAGAACTGGATCTTTGCTGCCAGTTGATGTCCCAGTTTTAACTGGGCAACAAGGCCTGCAGTAAATTCATATCCGAGGCGAGGGCAGAGACAGAGTGATGAGTCAGCCCGGGCTCAGAGGGTTGGGATATATTACACCTATCATTTCAGTGTGAGAGCAAAAGAGGACCTGCACAAAAAGCTGTGGGTGTGAAAAAAAGAAAAAGAAAGAAGATTGGCCTTAAGAGAGTGAAGGGAGGCATCAACAGAAAAGATGACAAACACTGAGTCCACCACCTCTGGGTAAATAGTTCCCCTCAGTGCACAAAACGGCACCACACTTAGTCCCGTTTCCACTTGTTTGGGTTCCTTATGTTTCATTTTCATTTTCTGTCATGTCTGTAAGTGACACAAAGCTGCAGAGAAAAACTAAATTAAAATTCTCAATGCTTCTCTTTGAGCAGATAAGACATGCTAAGACTGTTCTTTTGAATCTCGTAGTTACAGGGGTTAGACAATGAAACTGAAACAATGCAATGCACACAACATTATGGGTGACGTACCAGAGTTCAAAAGAAGAAAAATTGTTGGTGCACGTCTTGCTGGTGCATCTGTGACCAAGACAGCAAGTCTTTGTGATGTTTCAAGAGCCACGGTATCCAAGGTAATGTCAGGATACCACCAAGAAGGACCAACCACATCCAACAGGATTAACTGTGGATTTAAGAGGAAACTGTCTGAAAGGGATGTTATGGTCTAAAACCAGGTGTTTCCCTGTAGAATGTTCATGGTTGTTGACAAAAGCCTCAGCCAAAATTCTGGGAAGACCCTTTGAATCAGTTTTTGACCTCAGTCTTTCTCATAACTCCTCAAAATGATAAAAGACACAGAATTTGTATGGCACCATGTCAACAAAAAGCTGTCCAAGAAAAACCATCCTGAGCAACACATTCATACATATCAAACCCTTCAGACATTTCCCTGTGCCTTGACCCTCTGAAATCCACACTTTTCACAAAAAATCCATAGTTCTCTCACACAGTACGGAGGTGGGGGGGGGGGGATAATAGTGCAGAGGAGCACGGAGGGGAGGACGAGGAGGCGGGACAATGATGTCCTTACAGCTTTCCAGCTCAGAGATGTAAATAAATTTAGCATTAGCCACATTCTGCAAATCCACCACACATGCATGCTTGATAGTGAGAGTGCATCACACCAGTGTTGTATAAAGTACCACAAAATGATACTTGAGTAAAAGTACAAGTATCTAAAAAAATTCCTTTGGTAAAAGGTAAAGACTCCTTGAGGAATATTACTTCGATAAAAGTCAAAGTATCTGATGTTTTTTGTTTTTAAGTATTAAAAGTAAAAGTACTGATTTAAAATGAGCAGTTAGATTTTACATGATGACATTTATTAGGAGGTGACCTCCCTCCAAAAAAATACAGAAATGACTATATTGTATTAAAATAATTAATTTATGTTAAATTTAGGATGCACTGGTCAAGCTGTTTCAGTTTATATACATACGTATAAAGTGGGTAAAATAAGTATTGAACACGCCAACATTTTTCTCAGTAAATATATTACTAGAGGTGCTAATGACATGAAATTTTCACCAGATGTCGGTAACAACCCAAGTGATCCATACATACAAAGAAATCAAACCATAAATGTCCAGTTATTTGTAATAATGTGGAATGGCACAGGGAAAAAGTATTGAAAACGCTTACTGAAATTTATCTAATAC